CGTTCTAATTAGGCTCTCCGAAAGCTTACCTGGGCCAGCGACGTATTGTTTTTCCCCGGAGATCGGGGCAGGCGATAGAAATCGAGCGGCGTTCCACCGATTTCCCCGTCGAGATTCCTATCTCGCCGGACAGTGTTTGTCGCGTCGCTGTACCTTCCGGTATTACCTGCGAGCTTCCGCGTTGCTAGAGGCTTTCAGGAATTTTTCAAAACAGACTTATCCGCTCTTAGCGCGGGATTAGCTCGTCGACTTATACAGGGTGGTCTTCCAAACAAGTATAATCCCGAGGAATGCGATCGAAATCGTGCCCGAGAATAGCGAAAGGTTGTTTCCCGAACGTGTCGTACAACGATCTTTCGCCTCTTTAAAGTGTAATTAGCTTCCTCGGAGTCCGCAACAAAATTCAACGAGCGTTCTATGCGCGCGTGTTTGCTATACGGTGGACCTCTCCGTTTGTTCCAAGATGTAAGAGCACACCACCTTTCAACGAGCTCTTACAAATCGCGTGTCGTCGCTATCGACGGGAATTAAATCGACTCGCCTTTGAACTTTTGGCACAGAACCTAACAACCGCTCTGTCCACGCTTGTCACGAGCACCGCCAAGAAAACCGACTCTGGGCGAGCTGACCTTTACCGAGTAATCGAATTACCGATAACTGTCCGCGACCACCGAGCAAAAGAAGTCGGCCTCTCCGCGACGTGATAGAAATTTATGTCTCAATTGTTTTCACCGCGATTCGCGTCCGACCCGCGCGCATACCCCGGCCACAGAATAAAACTGTATCGTACGCGGAGTGAAAGCTTCGAAAGCTAATTGAACGCTGCTCGCTTCGTACCGATATCTCGTGATCCCGGAGGAGACGCGCGAATTACCGGATTACCAAGACGGGCGGAATAACGATTTTCATTCGCTCTAAGTCGCCGGATAGACACGTGTTCCGGCGGTCGGCGCTCCGATAAAAATGTCGATAGCGGGAACGGTCCATTAGCCATCGATCTCCGGTTTTTTTGCCCGTTCCGCGGGCATTGTTCGGTTAGAGGGGGGTCACGAGATTTTTCTTGCCGGTGCAGGCGCGCCGTGGATGGCAGGAGAAAAATCGAGGCGGCAACCGGTCGACCGACGACCCGCTGGAAAAAGACCGCGTCGCGGCGAGTTTCACGTACCCATAGCAGACGTCTGTATCTTACGCTCGGGTAAAAAGCGGTACCTCCGCATTTGGGTCAGAATTGAGTTAGCTCGGGCACGGCGTTCGACGGTGTCCCGCGTTTCATCGCCTAACACTGCCGAGGAAAACGCACGGCGACCGGCGCAGCTCCGGTTCCCGTGGTCCGCGAGCCCTGTCCGAGGGAGAAGTGGTAATTGACTCTGAGACAATTAACGTACGCCCGTATAAATATTCATCGGAGCGCGGACCGACCGCCGAGATTCCGATCCTCTTCCACCGCGGTGTTCCTCCAAGGAGGTCGACGGTTTTCCGACGAAGGATCCTTTATTCAACGCGTCACTTTTCTGCCCGCGGCTGAAAAAACGGGGAATCGAGAAGGGACGGGAGCGAAGGGGGACGCTGGATCTTCGTGAAAAATGGCGCGAGCGAATGGGGAAGCTTCGGGGAAGGAGATCTTCGCCGTGTCCGCATCTGCGACGTTTCAGCCCGTTTCGGTGAAGCTTCGGCAAGCGTTTGAATCGATTCGAGCTTGAAACGGGGGGAGAAGTTATCGAGGCTTCGTATGACAGAAAATCGAATGTCGCCTACACTTCCGTGTTTGCGTAAAATTTCGAACGGCCCGATTCCAGGAGAAAAAAGAGAAACGATCGATGAACGCAACGCCCGCGTCGAGAGCCGAGCCATCCAAGGCGCACGCACGATTTTCCAGAGCAGAAGGAACAAAACCAGGTCGTCCCACACCGGCGGAAGGTATATCGACGAGCAATTAAGAGCTGGCTTCGAAAAGAACGGGCCGCGGGTTCGAGGAGAGGCAGCGTCACGGAAGAAAGGAGACAGACTGGATTCCCAAAGGAGGCGGTCAGCGGCCGCGGCTAACGACGCATTTCTCATTTCCCGTAATCAGAACGTACCCGTCGGCCTCGGTTTTATAACCGGCCGCCCCCGGGTTTTCGTCCGGAACTCGCGGCGGAACAATGGGCGTCCCGTCGACGACGAAAGTGACGTCGCGCGGCCGGTCCGCGACGGGCAGAGAGAGCGGAGAGCTCCGGATACGAGACAAACGCGGAGGGATGAAGAGGCCGAGAGGGCTGTCGTATTATTAAGCAAGTAAATTAATAGAGGCTCCGGGAATGGAGCGAAGGGTGAGCGCCAGAGAGAGGGTGGATTCCGCGATAAACAATGCCCGCAGAGTCCGGAGTTTTGTACGCGGCGGGCGCACACGCGTTCCACGGGGGAGGAGGATCCGTCCGCGAGAGGGTGGCGGCGGCGGCGGCGGCGGCGGCGGCGTAGTCGGAGCAGGGTGAACGGCGGAGAATCAAAGTCCGTGCGTGAGCTGGACGCGTAGGTACGCGTGAACGCCGGAGCGTGTTTGTGTGGACACGAGGGTTGCTAAGCAAAGTAAGTAAAGCACCTGTGGGAGCTGGCTCGCTTTCGAGGGTGGAAGGAGGTCGCCAGAGGTAGCGAGCGAGACGGGGAGAGGGAGGGCTGGAGAGACCGAGTAGACAGACCGAGGGACATCGCAGGCCGGACAGAGACGGAGGAAGGAAGGAGGGAGAAAGAGCGGAAAGAGCCAGCGAGACAGAGCTATGGAGGGGGGCAGAGGGAGAGGAGAGTATAGAGCAGAGGCCTGGCGAACAGGCGAGCCAACCCCGGGAGGAAGCCAATCAATAAACTCACTCACTCGCTCTCCTACGGAGAGAGACCTACTGCTCTCCCTACGCTCGCGATGCGACTATATATACAGGCAACCTGGAAGCCTCCATTACGTACGCCCACTCCGGCTGCCTACAGCCATTTTGTAACCGTTCGCCGTGCACGGTTTCTCTCGAATCTCGCTCGGTGCCCTCTCTCATCCCCCTCGAGACCCCGAGGAATCGAGAGACCGTTTCTCGTTCGCCGATGACGAGAGACGGAGAGCAAGCCCGGCGAGGAGGGAACGAGAGGAGAGACAGAGCGGCTCGGCGAGATCAAAGGAGAATCCGAGAGGCAGCGTGCGCTTCCTCCGGCCTCGATATTGAATTCCCCGTCCGCCGTTTAGCGATTTTTATCCTATCGGGGAGAGCTGCTCCCTTCTTTATCCAATCGTCGATCCCGAGATTGGAAACGGTCTATGAGCATCGCGTGTGAAACGCGATATGAAAATACGGGGCCGCGGATTCCGGCGCGGCGGTTGAAACAAAAACGGACAGGAGGAACGGGAAAAGGGTTCCGGAGAAGAGAGGAGGCAGGGGATTCGGGATTTACGAGGGACGAAGAAAAATCGAGGCGGGCCAAGTGTTTCCAATTACGTCTAGCGACGAAAATCTGTGTCGATGTCTCATTTTGTCAACGGCACGCGACACGTGGTCCTCGAAAATAGCCCCGTTTCCCACGAAAGCGGCCCGCGGTTTCGGCCACCGCCGCTCCCAGCCCGGCGCCGGGTTCCCAATTAGGCATTATGCGGGTTACCGGGTCGAGCCCCGGTTTTTCCGTTTCGTTATTTCGTCCGTGCCGCGAAACGATCCCTCCACTCCACCCCGCGACTAGACCGTCGCGTCCCGTCGCTCGTAAATTCGTATAAATTCCCTCGATAGTCGTGACCGTGCAGCGACCGGCTCTCTTTTTTCGTATCTACGGCGCTGCTTTTTTTCTTTTTAATTTTCATTCCGCCCCGATAAATGATCGTTCCCCCGTTCTGGCAGATTTTGATATATCGGCCGGTGTATCGCGGCGAACGAGCGAGCGCTACCGAAATAAATTCCCGTCGTAAATTCGCCCGTCAGCTTTTTTGTCCGCGCTGCCATTATTAATCAAAACAGCGGGCCAGCAACGAAAATACGCGGAACGCTGCCAACGGGAATCACTTGGCTCCCCGATACAATGTTTACGGGGTCGGCGTGTGTCGTCCTAAGTGACGACCTCTTCAACGGCGTCGATACGCCCCCGCGCCGCCGTCCCGCGCCGCCGACGCCCCCGGCCCGCGGCAAGATGAAGTACAAGGGTCCTCGTGTTGACAGCACCCTCGTAACTCTTATCCACGGGCAGGAAGAACGAGCATCCGGTTTGCTCGTCACCCTTCTTACGGATTAATTGTCGCCTACCTTGACTGAGCGTCGCGCGTTGCGCAGTTTTAAAGGCTGACGGGGACGAATGGGATTAAGCGGGCGGAGGTGTTGTTGTCTGTGGAGGTGACGACGATATCGCTGACTTTTACACGCGTTGCTTCACTTGTAACTATCTCGACCCGTTTCGCCTGTAGTTCGGCTCGTTTGACGTTGACTGACCGTTCTAACTGCGACAGTCCCCTTCGCGTACGTGCAACGAGAGATTCTTCGGGATTTGCGGATTCGATCGTGATATTTAGGTTGCTAGACTCGCGATTATTAAACGACAATTGCTCCGACGCGAGGAAGTGATCATTCAATGTCCCCTCGAAACTAGATTTTCCAGGCTTCGTACAAGCCCAACGCCCCGACGGACGGTCTAAATGCGAGAACGACTCGTATAAGAATATTTCTCTTTTACAGGTCGTTCGGAACGCGACCGTCAGCCAGAACCGGCGATCGTCTTTCCCACGTAGGCTTCAACAGGCTAAAATTGGCTGGCCCTGCGGTTACGAAGATATTACGGATTCGCGATAACGATAACCATTTCTGACGGGATATGTGTAGCGAGTGCGAGATCGTGACTCCTGTTTTAATGGCGGCACTGAACAGCACCGTCGACGGGGTAAGGGATGCGTCTGTGCGCGTGTGTGTGTGCACGTGTACGTCTGTCGGGGATAGAGAGTAGAGAGCGGATGGTGGTTTAATCTAATGGAGCCGAGAGACCATGAAACCTGGTGATAAACTTACCCGTAGGCGGCCAGGGTTGGATCGTAGGGGTAGTAACCCGTGGCAGCAGGTTGAAGGGCGGCCGTGCCCCATGCAGCACCCATATCCGCCGTCATGCCCATCCCCGTCGTGTCCTTCAATCCGTACGGATTTCCCTGCAACGCGATCGAGCGATTGATTATTATGGGCGAGGGTGCAAATATAACCTTCCACCCTCTAATTCGAAAACTTACTTATCGTTACGTTTCACCGCATCCGCGAGGGGGATCGTGGAATTAATCGCGTTTTCATGGCGAATGTATCAATTACAATTCGGAGTATAGATTTAATCGCACGACTGATTCGTTTGGATGCGAATATAAGTATCCTCGGAGGTTTTATATTTATCCTTTCGTATTCCATCAGCGAGAATAGAAAACAGTTCAATCTCGGAGGACGAATACAGCCGCCTATTGGTTCTGCGGGTATTTATAAGCAGCGCAGTGACGGTTCTAAAATATAAAACGGAGATGATCCGAAAGAGCGTCGAAGACGCGGCACAATGTGTCTCCCGAGACGTATTCGTGCTCGCCATCGTCGCGATCGCTGACGAAAATATTCGGTATTCTACCGTTCTATTTAATCCTGTCGGATCGTCTGTCGGTGGCACGGATTTCGCTAGAACAAGCTTTAAAACGACCACTCGACCGTCCGCGATCGTCACCGGGAATGTCAGTCGTTGATTTAACATCGTCTAATCGTCTGCTAACACGATTTTACAATTGTACAGACCTTTCACGAGTGTGTTCGACGCAAGACAGAGGAATGCCCGCCATTTGTTGAGATTCTACGCGCGACCGTAGTCAACACCTTTGCTCGTCCACTGGCAAGAGAAAAATCGTTAACTGGGTCGTTGCCAGTAAACAATGTTGCTCGAGAGTAGAGCCGCCGATCAGTCGCGTGTAGAGGGTGCCGCGAGATTAACAATTTTACAAGTATCCGGGTAACATTTCGCGCGACCGACAGTAAAATTGCAAATGCATGTACGTACACACGGTTCGCGTGTAATCAATTTGAAATCACTTTCGCTCCGAAGTTAATGCAATCTGTAACGACCTGTACAATTTGTAAGACGCACACACAGTCCCACGCAGATTCGCGTTGGTACAGCAGTTCCTCGAACCCGAACGCGTCCCTCAATCCCAGCGTCCCACTCGCGGCCGTGACGCAATTTATGCAAATACCCCGTCGAATTAAAATCGAGCGATCCGTCATCTGAAACGGCGATCTCTCGCGAACTAAACGCAACGGGGTCAGGAATGCGCGGATCAATCAAACCATCGGCGAATGACCGACGATTCCGTTAATCGAGCTACACCCACGAGCTCGTGTTCCACGAAAAAAAGACGACCGGCCGTCGTGCCAAACAGCCGTATCTTTTAACCACGATCTTCGTCGTTCCCTTCCTCTTGCATCGCGGCTCGCTTATTCTCCGGGAAATACGGAGAGTCTCTTACGAAACTCGAGTTAGCGATGAAACTTGCGTTAAATAATTTCAAATAATACCGTATAGTCTGATTCGAATAAGCTTCGGTCGGACACAGAATATTCATGAAAGCTAACGCGAAGCCGGGAAATGTAGTTCCAAAGTTCTCAACCAAAAATTAAGTGTGCTTAAAGCTCGCCGAAACTTTCTGGACATCTGTTAGCAGCGTGTCATCCGAGAGCAAAGCGAAAGACTCAAGTAGATATTCAGAGAAAGAGTAGTCCTTCCATTAAGAGCAACTAATTGAAAGATGCCACTTAGCGCTGTGTAATGAATTTCAAACAAAACACATAGAAACAATTAGACTTCTCGACTGAGTGGAAACTCGGTACCCCAACGAACATGTACGGTAAGCGAACTGTTCGTCTGTATTAACAGAAACGCGTACGTAACAGTAGAATCTTAATCCGTATCCTTTCTAGATTACAAATGCCCACTATACTGTTGATTTCTATGCATCCGAGAAAACTTAAGGATTCAACGTTCCACAGAATGCACAAGTGTAGCTATTCGCAGCACCCGCTAAAAGAAGAGTATCAGAATCCTTCCCCAATTACATTCCCGAAATGTTCATTTCCATAATGATCCACAGCCCAACGCAGTTAAAATCATACAGAACTCGAGTCCATTCCAGACACGAACTTCCCAATCTTCCATCTTCACAAAGCCTCCGCCAAACTCGCAGTCTGCAAGGACACTCGCGAGTGCGCGAGGGTAAAAGGAGCATCGGCAGAAGTCGCTTGTTAACGAGGGAACGCAGCCAGCGCAGTCTCGACCGGATATGCACACCAAGGCGTCGAGGCAGTCGATGTTTCGAGGTGTCGCTACAAAGCGCATCATAAAGGCGGGCGGCGCGGCGGGTCGCGGGGGCGAGGGGACCGGTTCGAAGTGAAAAGAGAGAAGAAAGGCCAGCGAGGAGTTTTGGGGCGGAGGAAAAGCCGCGCTGCGCGGCGCGGTGCGGCGCGGTGCGGCGAAGTGGCAGCGTGCTCACGGTGGCTAATGGTAGCACAATGGGATATTATTAGAGCGAAGGCTTAGAGGCGTTTGGCGCCAGGAAGTTTCGCATTACAGAGATCGACGTCGACTACGGTCCTCTCCACAGGTAACCCCTCTCGACCCTTAATTCCCTTCTGGTCCCAACCCCTCGCTTCGGTTTCCGAATAAACCCCCTCTCGCTGGCCCCCCGAACGTTTTTTCTGTTACCTTCTTTTGCCTGTCGTCGAAAAAGGAGAGACGGAGAGAGGGAGGGAGGGAGGGAGGGAGAGAGTCCGAGGACCGGAGTTTCGCTCCTCTTTTTCCAACTTGATTTCTCCTCGGCGAGCGCCCTTTCCCCGGGAGCGACTTTAATGGCGAGCCACGGGTGGTCCAGCGTCGACGCCTCGGACTATTGTTACGACTGCAGAACGCGGCTCGGTCAGCAGCCGATTATACGAGCCGGGGTGCATTAAGGTAGCAATAAGCGTGCTCCTCGAGTTTTCTGAACACGTCCGGCAGTCCACGACCCGGGGCTCCGCCTCGATATACCAGTTCCATTCAAACGTTGACGAATTTTGGAGCGTACGCTGATGAGACACCGCGCGACGATCTCGGAGGTTCCGACGCGTGGACTTCGCAACGATGGCGCTGCGAGGGGATCGCGACGAGAGAGATTACCGGGGACAGTGTCTTTACAATTCAAGCGAGTTCTTTATTGTGCGCAATTATTTAGCACCGCGGCATTTCATTCGTGAAATTACTGGATGATTCATGTAAATAACAGTGTCCACGGATGCGATCTAAATTGCCTGCTAGTTAATATTTTACTTCTGGAAGGATTATCGGAGCTGGATCGACACTGCCGTGGATACAGTTCCCAAATAGAGCATTTGAAAAACGGAATTACGATCAGAAAAACGTCGGACTTGAGACATATCTATGGATCAGGACACGTGTGGAACTGCTTTTTTCGTGTATCGCGTTCCGACGCCGCAGTTCCGCGAACACCGAGGAGGGAAAACGTTTGTTGCAATCAAACCGGTCGGAATTAGAGATTCGAATTTCCGTATATTATCGCGGCGTTATCAGTCCGCGTCGCGCTTTTGCCGTGACGCACGGCGTCATACGTTTCCATCGAGGAAGATGCCGCGACTGATTATCGGCGAGCACGTGCACGCGCTCGTTGTATCGGGACGGATCGGGCTGCTTTGTGGCCGGCACGCACGCCGTCGGATACGTGACGACACGCGAAATTATTAAACGATGGGGTGGACTCGTATCAATTCGATTAACGGTAGATTCGAATAAACGCACGGTTTCTCTCCCCGGTTCGGTTTTTTCCGTTTCATTCGGCGGAACGATTCTCGACTCCCGGTGATGTCGCGATCGTTATTTCGCGTGGATGCTCGTGGAGGGGTGCGAAACGCTCGGCTAACGGGAGGGGGATGATGCCAGCGACCGTACTCGTGAAACTTGCGCGAATATTTCGAGTTTCCTTCAACTTGCCAACGTGAAATACGATATCACCATGTTCTATATTAATTCCGCATCGAATAGTCGATTCTATCGTTTCTTCGTCCGCTTTCATTCCATTTGGCTGCTAATCAGTTTTCCAGCGTACCATTTTCCAAATAGAGAAACTAGATAAGAAATCTCTAAACACATAAGCGTACATTGTATTCGCTGAGCAATAGAATATAAGTACTCCTCGAATTAATTCATTGAATATATAGATGGAACGTGTACTGGACTCCTTCGTTCAGACACTCCCGAAGAAAGTTCCCGAAACATCTCAGCAAAATAATTCTAAACAACCGTGCAAGTTCCCTCGGAGCCGGATTTCCTCGTATATACTCGATTAGTATGCGCAGCCGCGGCCGAAAGTTCGGCAAACAAACACTTCGGAACTCTCGGCGGAAAGTCGTTCCGCGGCGCTCGATCCACGGCCAGCGACAAAAGACAACCGTGCCGGAGAAGTTGACCGAGTATAAAGCGGGTATCGTCACGCGAGATCTCCGAGGCGAAAGTTCGAAGCTTCGGCCGGCAGTTGTCCCGTAATAATTGAATTAGCGCGCGCCGAGAGAGGGGCAAGTATCGACGCAGCGATGATGAAGCCGTAGAGAGGTCTCGCGCGGGACAGCTTTCGAGTGCGCGAACTCCGTTCGACGGAAAATCATAGTTTTTCGAGAGATGAGGCGAAGTCTGGCGAAGCAGTTATTCTTCCCTCTGATTTTCGTTCCCTCCTCCCCGCCGCCCACGGGACGGGTGAGTGTTTATTTGTTCTCTATGGTTGGCTTTTCGTTGAACAAGGACCACCACCGTGGTTGCCTTAAAGAGCCTCTGCCTTTTTATTAGTCCCTTTATCGCTCTCTCTCTCTCTCTCTCTCTCCGCTATCTCGCGCCACCCACTTCATTCAATGCTAATCCGATTCTTATTATATTATAATGCTCGTCGAAACGACGGCGCGCCGCTCGAATCGTCGGAAGCACGTGCTTCTTATTTAACGATCCGCAGCGGGGCACAAAGGATCGCGGGGAAACCGGCGAGAATTCACCAGCGGAGAGGAAGCTGGAGGGTGAGAGGTTGAAGCAGAGTTCTTTTCTGCGGATGTTCGTTGTCTTAATATTTTTGAATAGATTTTACAGCGATATCGC